CCGATTTAATGTTTACATCTTTTCTTTCATCTCTGTATCCTTGTTGATATCTATTATTTTCTCGAACATCATCTTGTCGTCGTGCATCTTGGCTTTGCTGGATTTTCCCACCCCTGTTATCTCGGTAGTCCTTTCTTTGATTGCCATCTCTTTCTGTTGGATACGTTTTAGGGCTTTTTTCAACCAAAAATTTTGTTGTATCACTCTTCAGTTTTTCATAATTATCTGTTCTCTTCCCTCCTTGATTCTCTCTTTGCTTTATTGTCTTTTCTGTGTCTTCAAGACTAGGGAATTCCTCCGCTGATTGTATTTCTTCAGGCTTACTATTGTCTGAAGATATCCTATTGTCCGTAGAATTTTTTTCATTCTTATACTGATTGGCGTCTTCACGATTCCGGTTGTTGTAATTCTCGACCTCACCCGCAACATTCACCCTTGTCCTTCCCCTTCCACCCCTCCTGCTATCAGTGTTGCGCACATGGCTTCTGTTTGCATTTCTGGATGGTGGTCCATCGTAGAGAATCAACTCTTCATCTCCTAAGTTGGGTACTGAATCTGATCCATCCTCAGTTGTATCTATAACAGCCATCTGAGGAATGAAGTCTTGAATTCTGTGCTTTCTTGGACCTTTCTCTCTGAATGATAGTGCAAAAAATAATTTTTTTTTTTAGATGTGTACTATACTAAGTACTAAGGTAACTACTATTGTCAGTAAAGATAAGGCATATTTAATAATCTCTTTAAAGTGTGTGCCAGAGGTTATCTCATCATTTGAAAAAAAAACCCTTTATATAAATTTCTCCTTTCAATTTAGCTTACACCAATAACCGATCTGACATATTTTAATATATCATTTTTTAAATCATAAAACTTGAGATATGAATTTCCATTCAACCACAAGCAATATTTGCAAATCATCCCATTAAATTATTCAATACAACTTACCTGCTAGGTCTCTTAGGAGCAGCTTCAGGAGGCTTGTCAGCAGCTCGAATGTCATACCCATAAATGGCAATGAGCTCCTCTCGTGACTTGGGTGCCTGCAGGTCATCACTGTATCTATCATGTGACCATTTACCTTCATCCTGCCATAATTTTTTCTTAGGTCTGTAAGGAACAATAGGATTGTGTTTTATTGATTGAAAAATTTATATTATTTTAATTTTTTTTTTTTTTAATACTTTGAAATTGCTCCTTAGACAACAACAACTTTTACATGGATTTTTACTTAATTAAATTTAACCTGTTCACAAATTTTACCAATTTGTTTACAGCCAAAAATAACTATGTACCATAGACAGGTTCAGAAATAAATTTGGTTGGTACTATAATTACTTAAAATAAAGTGAACTGCATTCATAACTGGTTGTCTTAAGTGTTACATTAATACATTATTAAACAATTCTTTGATTTAATTCTTTAATGTTAATTTACATAAGCTATGTAAAAGTATTCTACTATTTCTGATCAGTAAGTATGAAAATAATGATTACTCTTGGCACAATAGTAAAAATAATATATTTTGCAGTAAGCAGTCATTTTTATGTTGCAAACAAAAGGCTAGCTAAATAGAAACATACTTGGAATCATCCTTTTCCTCTACACCCTCTGGGCCTTCATCACCCTGTCGAAAATCATGTTCATAAAAGGCACCTTTACGAGGCACATATGCTGGATTCTTTTTATCTTCATCATCATCAGGCTTATCACTGTTTGGCTGCTCCTGGCAATAAGATAATGTTATCTTGATTTGTTAACATATGAACAATCTAAGAATATTTTAACACTTACATGGGAAGTCATGTCGAATGAATTTCAGCAAAATGTGATTACCCAAAATTCTGCTTGAAAATGTACATCAATGTTTCCAAATTAATTTAGCACAGACAACGCACTTAAATGTGTAACGGTACTGAATGCAGTTGGAAGCACAAGAAACTGGGCTAATATTATAAAGATTAAGCATCAAAATTGCATTTCTTACTTTACTTGCTGTTTATTCTGGAATCCTGAAAACAGTATTGTTTAAAATATCTCTTTAACAGCAAAGCCTTGAGACTATATAATAATATAATTAAGCTCGCTCACCTCTCCATCCCCACTTTGACGTTCCTCCTCTAGTCCTTCCTCATCCGAGTACCCTTCACCACCTTCTGTTTCTGTCTCTGAGCCACTCTCAGATTCTGTTTCTGAACCTTCTTCAGTTTCGGTTTCACTTCCCTCTTCTGTTTCATCCTGATTAAAAAAAAACAGAGTTAAAAAGATTCATCATCATTTGAAGTGTTGATTGGTATGCAATACAATAAATGTTCATATTAAAGTATTTGACTTTGCAGGCAGAAAAGGTATAAATATTGCAGAACTATGTACTCAGCGGGACAGAAAATATAACTGCTAAAAAGAAAGCCAACAATTCATTGGCCCTCAATGCAATATTGCAAGAATTTTTGTATGTACAGCAACAAATAAGATTTAACCGGGTTAAAGAGATTTTTAAATTTAATGATGAACAAATAGCAAGAACCTCTTCTCTGCTGGAAATGGAAGAGGGGACATTTACAACTACCAGAAATACAAATGAAAAATTGCCAAAATAGTGAATATACAAAAAATTGTTACCTCTTGATCCGCATTTTCATCAACTGCACTTTCATGTTCAGATAACTCTGCATAAAAAAAAGACATGTAAATTTTTTCATGTCAAACAAAAACGTATTAGTGCATTTAAATACTTACAAATATGTCATTTACAACTAATAAAACAGAAATTTCAGTCTTATCTTTAGGCTCCATGCAAAGTGATTTTGAAGTTTTTTAGAGATTCATTAAATGGTCCAAAATAATGAAGAAATTTCATCCTCACATACATTTCATATGGCACAAATCAATATGATAAATATACATTTTTGTTCAAATCTGTTCATCTCACTTAAACTATTAAAATAATGAATTTATTACCTACATCCGGAGTTTCTCCTTCAGATTCCTGCAAGAAAATTTGAACATTAATGTAGTGCAATTTAAACTCTTCCATTGTCAGAGGCAAAAAAATTCTAAAATAAAAAACATTTGAGCTTTAAATAGCCTCATTCACTGTACAAAGTGGATCCCTTTGAAACACAGCCATCCCTAGTTAATATCGGTAAGCCTAAATTGTAACTAGAATTGTATAACACAGTTGTCTTGGACTTGCCTTAATGTTCAGATATCTTGACACTTATTTCATACTATGGACGCCAAGCCACACTTTTAATAATTTCAAACAAAATAGTCACATCAGATATGGTAGATATTGCTTTGAATGTCAATCTGATAACGTTTAGTGCCAAATCATATCTTGAACATAAGCCCCCAATTTCATGGACAATATCCAATATAAGGCTCCACTCCATTAATTTAATTTTGTTTAATGACACCTACCACAATTTGCACTTAATTGATATGCAGTAGAAACAAATTTCCTTTTAGCCTTATTGAGATTTAAATTAAATATTAAGCACGAGTGAGTTCATGATCTATACTTTTTTATATTACACACAGGGATGAAAAAAAACTTTGAGGATTGTATTATAGCATGAAGAATGATGTTACATGTTCTAAAACCTCTTGAAAACAGCAGTTTGGCCTCTAGATCATGATCAGGTGAAATTACTTTGTTTAGATAGATTAATAATAAGTAGAGGAGGTTTCCCCAGTTTACAACCAGTTTTAACAATGGTCATTGTCCATATAGCTCTATATCATAAATTATAATTTCAGATATACAAAAACATTGTCCTTCCCATGGTTCTCACAGTAAAAGATGTTTTTACCCATGAATATGTTTAGAATTCCTGACATAAATAAATATAATAAATTATTTAGACCTATATTTGATTTAGACCTATATTTTAAAACATTTTATATGACATGGGATCCTCAAGACAAAAGGTGGATCATTATCATTAACTTTAAAATGTTTTTGCAAAAAATCACAGACAGGAAAAGGCTGGAAATTCAANATAAATTATTTAGCCCTATATTTGATTTAGACCTATATTTTAAAACATTTTATATGACATGGGATCCTCAAGACAAAAGGTGGATCATTATCATTAACTTTAAAATGTTTTTGCAAAAAATCACAGACAGGAAAAGGCTGGAAATTCAACATACTATATACAGCTAGTGCTCGACTTACAACCTATGCAACTTACGACCATTCGACTTTATGACCACAATCACTAGCCATACTGTACTAGATTTCAGATTTATTTCTGCCTCAATTATCAGTCGAACGGTGTTGTCTGCAATCATCGGCGGTCATGAACAGAGAATATTAACAATAATAAAAGAAATTTATGATATAATTTAAATTAAATATTTTTATAACATCACTTCACATTACTCATAGCGTACTCAACTTACGACCAAATTGTGTTACGACTGGTCTGTCGGAACCGATTGTGGTCGTAAGTTGAGCACTAGCTGTACCATACCCTGGCCTTAGTGCTAGAGTACCTGCACTATGAAAGAGTAAACAAATTTAAATAGAAAAAGTTAAACAGTTGTAGTTTCAGTTTTAAAAAAATGAATTAAAAAAATTTAACAGTTGTATAAATCAAACGTTAAATTAAAAGAATGAAAATAACATTTACTAGGTTTAGTCTAAAGCCTGCTGGCTTTGGTCTTTGGTAGCCATAGTTTTTGAGCAATGAATTTCTTAGAATGTGAGTGTTTTCCCTTTATTACTATGGACTTCACTGTTACTCCAAATATTGAGTCCCAATTTTAATGTTTTCATTTTGT